GAGCCGCTCAGGGCTGCAGATAAGTTTTTCAGATTAGTTTTGCAGCCACTCACGGCTACAGATAAGTTATGGAACCACTAGAATAAAGGCTCCAGATAGGTATGGAGTTATGGAGTATTTATTCATTTGTCAGGGATGGACACCAGTCTTTAAATGCCTACCTGTATGTACATGGAAGGTAGACCTCGTTGTCTGGCCTGTAGTTTCAAATTTGTTCAGGTACTTGTGATCTGCGATAAGTTTATGTGTGTCGGTTTATTTGTCCCAGTCAGCAGCACTGGTTGTTATGATGGCCAGAACACCTGTCTGTAGGTCCATGGAAGGTAGATATGGTGTTGGCCTGTAGTTTCAAACATGTTTAGTTACTTGTGGCTAGAACCCGTGAAAATCCGGGGTAGAATAGGTCTTCAGCAACCCAAGCTTGCCACAAAAGGCGACTATGCTTGTCGTAAGAGGCGACAAATGGGATCGGGTGGTCAGGCTCGCTGACTTGGTCTACACATGTCATCGGTTCCCAATTGCGCAGATCGATGCTCATGCTGTTGATCACTGGAATGTCTGGTCCAGACTTGATGACTTACAGACCGCCGCCATATAGCTGGAATATTGCGGAGTGCGGCGTAAAACTCAACTCAGTCACTCCCTGTAAGAAAATATTTTTATGCCCCCGCCATATATGGCAGGGGCATATAGGGTTACCCTCGGTGTCCGTCCGTCCGTCCGTCCGTCTGTACGAAACAGGGAATGTATTCTATCCACTTCTCCACCATAACCGCTCTGTGGAATTCAATGAACTTATACATGGGCTTTCTTGGGACTCTAATGGTGTGCATCTCGTATTTTGTTTTTTTATTTTATTGGTTTTTATTTGTAAGTTTAGAGACATTGAACTTAGTTACATTTTGCTGAATTTCTCTATGATGATAGTGTAATAGGGGATGAAATCTATCCACTTCTCCACAAAAACTGCTCAACAGAATTGAATGAACTTGTACATGTCTTTTGTAGGGACTCTAAAGGTGTGCATTTCGTAATTTTTTTGTGCAATTTCTTAATTTTGTCACTTTTACAGATGTTTGAACTTAGTTGAATTTTGTTCTATTCAGCCAGTGTTCTTTCCATCCAACAGGTGGTGTAAGTTATCCACATCTCCACAAAAACTGCTCAACAGAATTGATTAAGCTTATACATGTTTTTCATTGAGACTCAAAAGGTGTGCATGTCATAGTTGCATAGATGTTTATTGAACTTGTTCGTGAATTTTGTTCAATTATAGATCTTTATATGTCTTATGAATGTCAGCGGGGGCATCCATGTCCCTGGACACAATTTTTTCTTGTTTAGAAATGTGATTGCAGTTCCTTTTGTGTCAAATGGGTGACTGCAGGGTGTCTGGGATTTTCAAAAAGATGATTATGCTTCAGACGGGGGAAAATAGAAATTGTCTGCTACAGAGATTACACTGTTGCAAGGAATTATTTTGTTGAAAAAAATTAGGATCTTAGTTAGGATCTCATTAATAACCTATCAAGTCTCCATACAAGTTCCTAGCCTGGTCGAGCAGAGATAATATAGTGACGCAGATAAGTTATTCCCGAAAACTGGTGAATTATAAAAAAATAGTAAGGACAATGTATATTTGTGGTTATGGAAATAGTTATGGTACATCTTGTCAGCCAATGAGAATACAGAACAAATTTCACGGCACACACTGCTGACAATTAGCGAGTCTGATGCCGATGTTAGTGATTGGACAAAATGGAAAGTAATGAATGTAACAAGTACTTCATGATTTGACGTTGTATTCGGCAATTGTTCAGAGTAGACTGCAGCATTTAGGGCTTCAACCTGGAACAAACGTTATAGCGAAACATTTTCAAGCTCAAGCTTTTACTGGTATGGATAATATATATTTCATCACACTCGGACTTGATTTAATCTATGTTAATAATACCTCTGACTTACTGTTGCAACATGGAATGATGTAGTATAAATGAATCTCGTGGGCACTGCTTCCTTCTTAGCCTAGCTTTTGGATTTGCATGTGTGCATGTCTCTTTCATATGCGCCAGACTCGAAATGATGGGAACATTTCTCCTGCCTAAATCTGTCTTTTCACTTTCTGAAAACGGAAGAAATGGTGTCTCTTTCCATTGTTCGATGATGCCATGCATCCCCAGGCAATGGAATACACCATCGTGCCATTTACAAAAACGACAGAAACAACACGATTTGTATTACTGTAGCTCTTGTTCTTTGGCAATATGGCTGACTCTAGTCACATATGACGTCACGAGCTGAAAGGTCACGTGAGTTCCAGCTGAAGATGCAAAATGTCCGAAGCTCAGATAACAGAAACTGTTTTCGTGATTAAAACATCAATGAACCATTTTGAATTAATAATTGAATTACATGTTTCTGATGACTTTATCTTCCATCCAGCAAATTATTGCAATTTTCTAGTATTCTCCTTTAAAAATAATTTCTGTCTGCTTAAATTGCTTTATGAGGGTTACAAACCCGTGAAAGTCCGGGTTAGAATTGATCTTCTGTAACCCATGCTTGTCTCCCCGTGAAGGTCCAGGTTAGAATTGATCTTCTGTAACCCAAGCTTGTCGTAAGAGGCGACTAACTGGATCAGGTGGTCAGGCTCACTCACTTGGGTGACACATGTCATCGTATCCCTATTGCATAGATTGATGTTCATGCTGTTGATCACTGGATGGTCTGGTCCAGATGTAATTATTTACAGACCGCCCTCACATAGCTGGAATATTGCTGATTGCGGCGTAAAACATCAAGAAAAACCAAAAAAAAACCCCACTGTCACATAGGGTGGACTCATTTTCTCTTCAGTTTTGGAATTTACATATACTGAAGCTAAATAGGTCTGCAGTGGTTGTAGAAGAGGCAATGAAACCTGTGTGCTCTTTCCCTGAGGTTGTTGATGATGCTGAATAATGTTACTAAAAGTTCAAGAGCTCTATCCTGTTACTTTTTACAGCCTAGTAGTTCCACACTGACAGACCGCCTCCGTGGTGTAGTGGTTAGAGCGTCCGCCTGGAGAGCGGAAGGTCGCGGGTTCAATCCCCGACCGCGTCATACCAAAAGACGTTAAAATATGGTACTTGTTGGTCCCTGTCTGGCTCTCGGCATTAATGGGTACAACAAGAACTGGTCGGCTTGGAGTCAGTATAATATGTCTGAGTGGGGTATTCATGCTTCACTGCGGCATGGTATCTCAGTGGGCTAGCACTATAGAACCAGCTTCAGTCTGGGCTAGTACAAACAGCCGCACATACACATACACACGCATGCACGTCGTCATATGAGCGAAATATTCTCAAGCACGACGTTAAACCTTATTTCACCACCACCACACTGAAAACAAATGTGTCTTGAAACAGGCTATAACGCTCATACCTTTAAGTCTGAAAACCTGTGCTGTATTGTATGTGAATGCGAAATAGTTGGTTAATGATCCAAAAATAATCAATTTTAAAATGATTTAAATGTGTGTGTTGAATTAATGTAATTCAGCAAATGGTGTTTTTGCAATCAGTGCTGGTAGAAAGTTGCCTGGGTGAGTAGAGTGAAACATGCTTGTGTTGAGCTAAGATATTTTGAACATTCTGTTGTCTTGAAGTACTGTCTTGACTCCGACAACTTGAACACAATTGTGTTTGACTGTATTTTTAGATACCTTCATACTGTACTGCAAGTACAACCTAAGCATAGTATTGTAATAACTCGTAGTTGAGAGGACAGAGATGGTTCAAGTGCATGGCCTCATGCATCATATGGGGCGGTGGGGTAGCCTAGTGGTTAAAGCGTTGGCTCGTCACGCCGAAGACCCGGGTTCGAATCCCCACATGGGTACAATGTGTGAAGCCCATTTCTGGTGTCCCCCGCCATGATGTTGTTTGAATATTGATAAAAAGCGGCGTAAAACCAAACTCAGTCAGTCAGTCAGTCATGTATCATGATGGAATCTGTCTGAATTTGACAGTGGTCATGGCACTTCAGCAGTGGAAATTGTTTCACCGGTTATTGACCACTGATTTCCACTGCCCAGACCCAGAACACTCTGCTTTATCATCCTGTTACCCTCTATGGGTGGTGGGGTAGCCTTGCGGTTAAGGCATTCCCTCATCACACTGAAAAACCAGGTTCGATCCCGACATGGGTAGAATGGGTAGAATTTCTGGCGTCCCCCACTGTGATATTGCAGGAATATTGCTAAAAGTGGCATCAAACTATACCCCCTCACTCCCTTGTACCCCATTCCACAGAGTGATCTTAGTGCTAAGGTGACCGTTACTCTCACACAATAGAATTAACGGATGATAGTCTCAGCACTAAAAGCGCTCTGTTGTACAGGGCTCAGGACTTGTTTCAATATGCTATATATCATGGGGAATATCAAGCTGTGTCTCCTGTGAGATAACGTTGCTGATATCAACCAGCTTTGCAGACTATTTTGATGTCATCAGTCAGGATGACATCACAGTCAAATTATGACATCCAGCCAAATGCCATCCCATTACTCACTGCCCCCTGAGCTGGTCCATCGTACTGTTGTACTCAAGATATTCATTTATTTGCAAACTGTCTGCAGAATCATTTTGATATTATCGATGCTCATGCTGTTGGTCACTGGATTGTCTGGTCCAGACTTGATTATTTACAGACTGCCGTCATATAGCTGGAATATTGCTGAGTGTGGCGTAAAACTAAACTCACTCACACACACATTTTGATATTAAACAGAATTTCTCACACTCATTTTTATGTGTAACATATCCAGAAGCTTTAAACTTTTATCAAATCCTGTTTCATATTAAAGTCATTTCGTGAGATTCTCTACACAGCTGGTAAAGTGCTGAGGTACAAAACAGCAGTAACTTAGTCAAGGACTCCAGCAGCATTCAGACAGGGCACTGATCACATTATAAATTCCTGATATGATATGTTTCAGCTGATTTAAAAACACAACACTCTTTAAGGATACCCATTTATTGTACAATGTTCCTAAGTCCCCTCATCTGCCGCCCATCGTTTGATTTTGTAACGATCAGTAGTTGCGTTGCCTCAAGCATGGACCCCCACACCCAGCACAAGTGAAAGTAGACCCGTCAGTGGAAGGATATGTACAGGATCAGAGCTTCAGTGTTGTCCAATCAGTTCCTTAGATCTGTCTTCTTGTTTTAACCATAATAGGAAAGTCTTTAGTAAGGCGCTACTGCCAGTCTTTAGGGAAGTACTACTGCCAATCAGTAGGGAAGTACAACTGCACATTGTTAGGAAGGTACTACAACTAGTCTTTAGGTAAGCGTTACTATTTTAGTGCATGCATTGAATTACAAAAATAGACCCTGTCTAAATATTATTTGTTGATTTTGAAGAAAGTCAAATCCACGCTGAAGGCATCTTCAATAAACTCTGAACATTCAAGGAGTTGTGACTGTATTATTTCTTAGCCATAACGGAGGAGGTTGCTGACTCCATCCTTGCTCTCAGCTCCTTCCGAAGCCTCGTCCTGGGGTACTGTCATGTATCCGTGGGCTGGCATCCACACCCAGTATCCGTTGTCTCTTTTGGCGGTAATGGGTTTTAAGTAAGGGGAGTAGCGGCTTGGCGGAGCGAGTAAAGAAAGACCGCTGGAACGCTTTGACAGGAGGAAGGACAAGCGACCTCCTGTCTGACTGTCCTGTCGCACTGATGGCTCCATAGTTTCTTTCCCAGCGACGGCGGCAACAGCTATCACACACATTGCTGCCAGAGCAACCATGACGAGATGGCACACCGTTTGTCTCATGCCTGGAAGAAAGCAAAAATATATTTCAGATTATGTCGGTGAGTGATTCCATGCTGTAAATATTTACTTTGTTAATGGTGAACACCTGGTGTCATTACAGGTTTTCAGTGATCCAGCCATATAATTTTCAAATTTATTTTACCCGTTACACCAAATGGATCTGTTCTTGAGGATAGTGCTTGAGGATTTTAATTTGTGGATGGCAGATGCTATTGGTAGGCAGGACGTATTTACTAAGGCTGTAACGATTCACTCGCATATTAGGTGAATCGAACCGTAGCCCTTCATGAATTCAATTCGTTATTCGTCATCACCAGAACCGAATATTAACGAATATTTACAATTTTTTTAACAACAGGATAGGATAGCACTTAAAGGATAGTACTTGAGGATTTTACTTTGTGGATGGCAGATTCTACTGGTAGGCTGGACATGGGATTTGTTTTGGAGCATAGTCAACACTTGTTAGTATATGGCACTGACATTTTATATTTGTAGGCTTCAGAAAGCTGTCACCTTTCAGAGCTCCAGATAACATATAGCTCATGTGGGTACTGTACCCACTGTATTTTTTTGGAGTGGGTATTATGAATATTGAGTGGGTATTTCATTTTCCGTTACCCACAGCTTTCAAATATGTGCGTATTTCAGTCATTTTACTCACCTAAGTATTATGTCATTGAGTAAGTTTACTAAGCAGGTATGTTCTGCCATATGTCATACCTAATTAAAACCAACTTAAATATAATGGAAATGATTTCATAAAAAAATCACTCATTCTATACTGACAGTACAACACTAGTCCTATACTATCAGTACAACTTGATAGCAATCGATGCCTTTTTCATTACGCAAGCGATTTTTATAAATATATTCCGTACACATTTGTTTTAAACATTTTGCGTATGTAACATTTTAAATGCGTAATTGGTACGCAACAATTATTTTTCAATGCCTAATTTGAAATTTTCTATGCGTATTTTACCCGGATACGCAGCTTATCTGGGCCACTGACCTTTTGAGGGGTAATCTGTATAACAAACAACCGGCGATGTATACTGGATGCTTGAATATAAAATTGTCTGAAGTCACCTATACTTTTTGCACATAACAAGTGAATGTATAAGGTGGTTATGCCCTGTGACCTGGTTGACTACATGTCATTGGACCCAGTGACGTGCTCATTATATCAATCACTGATTTGACAGGCCTAGACTTGAATATTTTCTTGCCACAGTCATGTGGCTGGAATAGTACTGTATAAACAATGATACACAAGGAAAGGTTAACTTGCAGTCTTGCAGCTGGTGTAGCCATTGTTGAAAATAGAAAAGTTTGGTTACCATAATTCTATGGGGATAGAACTCTTTTAATACTATAGAGCCAAATTTTCTTTTTCATTAAAAGTAACTCTCTGACTGTCAAATTTAATGTTTTCTTTGAAACATATATGTCACATATTCACCAAATGTTACCAAAATGTGAAAGCAAGTATAGGTTACATATTCACCAGATGTTATGAAATTATTAAAGCTTAACACATATTCACCAGATGTTATGGAACTATTAAAGCTTAACACATATTCACCAGATGTTTTGAAACTATAAAATTATCATATATTCACCAGATGTTATGAAACTATTAAAGCTTAACACATATTCACCAGGCCCCGATTTCTCGAAACAAACTTAAGTCTGAGTTTTGACTTAAGTCCGAGTTCTTACTCAAATTTGACAAAACACAGGAAAATGCATTTCCCAGAATAAACTGAAATCAATATTAAACACAAACTTAGTAGACAATTTGAGTTTGGTGGATAGATTACTTAAGTTGTTTGGGAATGTTGTATTTAAACTGCAGTCATGTTAAAAATTCAGCTGTTTCAAATTGTCAAACTCAGTTTGAAATTTGAGTAAAAACTTAAGTTTGTTTCGAGAAATCGGGGCCAGATGTTATGAAAATGTGAAAGTGAATACAGGCACCTGTTCAACAAATGTTTGGAAATGGGAAACCTGTTGTTCACCTCTTCACCAGATGTCAAAATCCAAAGCCGGTGTAGGTCACATACTCAGCACATGTCATTAAAATGTTTTGTTATTTCATGTTTTCCAAATGTGAACGTCACTTATTCACCAGATGTTATCAAGATGTGAAAGCCAGTGCCTATTCACAAGGTCTTATGGAAATGTGAAAGCATGTATGAATACTAATTCTCCACATATTGACTATCAAGCTGTGAAGGCTATAGGTCACGCTTTCACAGCTGTTTAATGTTATCAAACTATAAAAAACCACCAACATAAAATTTTCAATTTTAGCCATATCAGTCAGATCGCTGGACCTAATTTCCAGCTAAAACTGGTTCAAATATGTTCTTGGAGAATATAAATTTGTGTTTCTAAATCCTCTTTGATAGCTACATACTAATATTATTGCTCACAGGACTAACTCTGAGCTCTCTAAAGACTGCAAAATCTCCCTCTAATTAGGGTCCACTTTTTAATCCCCAAGGAAAAGTCAGTTGTCATTTAATATGCTCTTTAATCATGTTCAAATAAAACTATTGATTGATAAGATTGGTTCAATTTGTTATTAAGCCCTCGTTTGGCTAATCTGGGTTTGTTATTGGTTCCGGGCCAATGTTTGCTGAAGGGATGATTATGACCAATGATCATCCGATGTCGTCATCAGAGCCATGATGATTTTATATATGTATTTATGGTGCTGAGTTTGTGAACAAATATTCTTCCGTTGTTAAGATATGATTACCAAATAAGAAAACTCATAATATAAAGATGGACTTGTGTAAACTGTGGGTAGAATCAAAAAGTGATTTGAGACAATTTTGCTCTTTGATGACAAATCCTTTAAAATCTTAGCATTAGCCAGTGCATAAACTAGCTGTAACAGTACTATTTATGACATAATACATCGTTTGTTTGAATTTCATCCTACACACCTCACAACCAAACAAACCACCTCACAATCAAACAAAACGCCTCAATGTCAAATTTGTGTATGAAAGAAACTCCCACATACGTTGCCTTCTCTGTTTCCTGATTGAAATATTTGATATTCATATAGTCTTAAAGAACATTTTCAAGCTTTGTGTGAATCTCAGCAATACACACAAACCTTGAACATGTTGATTGGTATGTTTTAAAAATATAATTGAGCAAGTAAATTCCAGCGATTAATTTATACTAGTCAAAAGTGGTAAAAGTTTATACACAGACTTTGTGAATGTTAATAACATGCGAGCGCTATGTCTGACACAATTCTTGAGGCAAGAATTTCCCAGAAAACGTGTACTTATGAAGGAAAAATAAGTAAGCAAATATTTTAATCATCAAACAAAAGTAAGTCTTTTTTTCTTGACAGATTTCCGTTTCGGCAATATTCAAACTTAAACATCGATGTATTGTGCCCCATTTGAAGTATCGTATCGGGATATACGACAATGTAAACCTTTGTATTGATTCACTGTATCGGCGGCCCATGAATCGATGCGTATCGATGAATCGTCACACCACTATAAATAATCAATATTTAGATAACAATATCGACCTCTTTGATTGATATTGACAGCCGACTCAGAGATAATCACATGTCATCGTATCCCACTTGCAAGGATCGATGCTCATGCTGTTGATCACTGGATTGTCTGGTCCAGACTCCATTATTTATAGACTGCCGCCATATAGCTGGAATATTACTGAGTGTGGCGTAAAACTAAACTCACTCACTCATGAAATTCAGTGTATGCTGGCACAAAAACAACTCGATTGGACTCAGAAATTCTCAGAAATCACCAGATTTGGAAACCTTAAGCTCCACTAATGTTTCTGGACAGCTATAGCAATCAGCGTGCCAATCGTTTGTTCGTAATGTTTCATTTGTTCTTCTGGTCAACTAGTGACATTGTGGGTCACTTACAGTGCAAGCTCTTTAAGTCATTATGATATGGAACACTCTTATGACATCAGAAGCACAAGATACTCCTTTCCTGTAACTAAGGCTTTCAAACTAATGGCGAGGAAAAGCAATTTAATGACCTTGGGGGGCAGCGGAAAATCACTTGATAACATTGTTGTTGATTCATTAGAAGATCCATTGACCCTACTTGCTCTGGTTGCTGTACGGAAATATCCTTATCTCACGAAAATATCATTATTTATGACTAATTCACTGAACTTAAAATGGACTTTAAATGAAGATACCCGGCCTAAGTATTTTGTGAACTACTAATGAATTTGATTCTTTCATAATTGCTCATTTTTATAATTTACATGAATATGAATGTCTTTCAGTGGCATTTAGAAGTTGTACACAGATGTCCGAGATATTTTTCTGGATTAAACTTCTTTTTTTTATTTCCCTCACGACGTTCACCTGATGAGGGGGAGGTGGGGTAGCCTAGTGGTTAAAGCGTTGGCTCGTCACGCTGAAGACCCAGGTTCGAATCCCCACATGGGTACAATGTGTTAAGCCCATTTCTGGTGTCCCCCGCTGTGATATTGCTGGAATATTGCTTAAAGCGTCGTAAAACTAAACTCAGTCAGTCAGTCAGTCACCTGATGAGGGGACCTGGAATGGTCCCGAAACGTTGTGCGGGAAATTAAAAGAAGTTTAATCCATAAAAATATCTTGGACATGAATATGAATGTTATTACAATTATTATGCAAACTGTTCATGTTTATGCATTTATTTCACAAGTGAATTTGACAAGGTGTTGATTAAGTATAGTCCCTGAATTAATTTTGTTTGTTTGTTGTTTAATGCCGCACCAAGCAATATTCCAGCTATATGGCGGTGGCCTGGACCAGACAATCCACTGATCAACTACATGAGCATTGATCTAAGCAATTGCGATATGATTTCGTGTCATCAAGTCAGCGAACCTGACCACTCAAACCCTGTAAGTCGCCTATTAAATAATCGAGTCTGGACCAGACAATCCAGTGATCAACAACAGGAACATCGATCTGCGCAATGGATAA